AAAATGCTGACGTGGCGGGTGGGGTGGAAAAATATTTTCCGTGGAAAATTTAGACTATCAAACAACGCAAAATTCAAGCCAAATGAAATGGGAACATAATGAACTTCACCTTAAATTTGCGTACTTCATAAAATAAACAACGATATTAGACTAGCTATTTTAAGTCCACGGTTTAATAGTTTTTCGTTTTGAAATATGCATAGCATAGTTGGTGGTGAGTTCTTTGAAACTAAACCAAGATCCGACCCCAGGTCCCCAACGATCAAGAAAATGGCTCAAAAATATGCCAAAAGAGGTGATGATCATAAATTATTAATTTTATTAAATGCATTTGGTTCAACCATTTAAAAATGATTTTGCTGTTGGAATTAATTGGTCAAGACATTAAATTGGATTATTTAATGTTATTTGGGTCAAGACATTAAATTGGATAATGTTGTGGGCCATTGAATTAATTGGATGGATTGAAAAGGTCTCCAACAAAAATCCCATATGGTTTTTTAAGGGAAAAATGATGGTATTTATTGAATAAAAGATTTTATAAGTTTGTACACCTTTCGAATTAGTAATTTGACACAATAGTCCACCTACACCATACCTATTGTGCCTTAAGGCTAGCTTTAACTAGCTACTCCAGATCCGGTCCCCCAGGACCCGTGGTGCCTACTACAATCTACTCAGGGTCAAAATTATTGCATTGAAAGTTTTAGAGGCATACTTTGTCCGTTAGCTTTCGAAATTGGAATCATACACTACAACAAAATGTACTTTTTACGGCGTGTATTGTAAGCCGTAAAAACCTGCACGCCGTATAAAGTCATACCGTAAAAAGTGGTTTATCTTTTACAGCGTGCATAGTACGACGTCTATAGAACGCCGTAAATGAGTTTTTACGACGTTCAGCTACACGCCATAAAAATGAAATTTAGGGCGTGCTTATGCACGCCGTAAAAAGTATCGCACTTTTTACAACGTTCTGTTGCACGCTGTAAAAAATGCTATTTAAGGCATGCTTATGCACGTAGTAAATATCAATTTAATTTTTTAAGAATTATTTATTTATTTGATTACCAG